CCATGGCTCACCTGAGTTAAGAGAATCCTCTTGCCTCCAAGTTGGGAGAGACCCCCTTTTTTCAGCACTGAATGGCCACATGCTGAGAGCAATGGTGGCTGTGCTGCTGGTTCTAAGTCCAGCTCAGCTTCACCCCCCCTCGTGCCCCCTTCTAGAACCAACTGCTCTCAACCGACTCTCACCTGCCCTCCCCCTCAAACTCCCTTTCCAAGCCTCCTTCCATCTTCCGTCTCCACCAGAATTCCACTCTCTCTCTTCCCCCTCCCTCCCTGCTTGACATTCCCTTTGGAATTGTAATAGCATCACCTCACAATAATAATATTGCCACTCATCTCCTCTAGGCCTCCTACCTTGAGAATCCATCTTTCTCTACCAACTCTCACTGTCATCTGACAGGCATCCCCCTTGCAAGACACTATAAGGCTTGCTTGCAAAGCAGCACTTTGTGACATCAGCGGGCAAACAGGGACCAGGCTGCTGGGTTGTCCAGCAGCTGAATGAAGAAAAATAAAACCAGAGGGGTCAAAGAGTGCTGGGATGAGGCCACCGTGGGTAAGGCCAGAGGGGGCTGTTGGGGGGTGTGCTTGTGCCTCCCCTTCTTCTGCATCTTGCTCCCCCACCCATTCCTTAAGCTGCTTGAGAGAATCATAGCATGGTCGAGTTGGAAGGGATGCCAAGGGTCATCTAGTCCAAGCCCCGGCAGTGCAAGGATCCTGCCCACTGCCAGCCCCTGGCTGGGCTCCACACTCCCACCACCTTCTTGCCTGCCGGATGCACAGACCCCTTACCATTCTGCATGGGGTGGAGAAAGGGGAGAGAGAGATGTTTTGCTCCCTGTCCCTCCGTACATGGATATGAGAGCCCTGTCAATATCTCAAGGGCATCACAGGGAGGAAGCTTGTTTTCTCCTGCTCCAGAGGCCCTCAGGACCTGAAGCCATGGCTTCAAGTGACCAGGAAGGAGATTCCAACTCCACGAAGAACTTTCTGACAGCAAGAGCTGTTTGACAGTGGGAGGAAATCCCTCGGAAGGCGGTAAGACTCTCCTTCCTTGGAGGTTTTTCAGCAGAGCTTGGACGGCCATCTGCCATGGGTTCTTGAGCTGAGATTCCTGCATTGCAGGGGGGTTGGACTAGATGACCCTCGGGGTCCCTCGCAACTTGACAATTCTAGGATCCTCTGATTTAAAGTGCATCCAGTGAGCATTTAAAGCACATGACGTCCCCCAAATGATCCTGGGCATTGCAGATTCCCTCCCAGAGAGGCCAGTGTGGTGTAGTGCTTAAGAGCGGTGGACTCGTAATCTGGGGAACCGGGTTCGATTCCCCACTCCTCCACATGCAGCTGCTGGGTGACCTTGGGCCAGTCACACTTCTTTGAAGTCTCTCAGCCTCGCTCACCTCACAGAGTGTTTGCTGTGAGGGAGGAAGGGAAAGGAGAATGTTAGCCGCTTTGAGACTCCTTAGGGTAGTGATAAAGCGGGACATCAAATCCAAACTCTTCTTTTGCTTCTCCTCCTCCTCCTCCTCTTCCTCACAGACCTACAAATCCCAGAAGCCCTAACAAACTACAATTCCCAGGATCCTTTGGGGGAAGACACCTGCTTTTTAGAACAGAGAGGAGAACCTGCAGCTGACTTCCCCCAATTTCCTAGGAACCAGGAACGGGAAGCTCACGTGCTTCTAAGAGGATAACTTCACAGAGCAGGGGGGATAAAATATTGCTCCAAAAGTTGGCTGCCTCCCCTGGATGTACATTTCCAAAACAGAAGATAAAAAATAAATAAAACCTACATACAGCAAGTGTGTTTTGTGTTGTGTAGGCTCCTATTTGTTATGTGCAAACGGCTTTCGATACCTATGAGGTCCATAAATTACAGTGTAGCATATATTCAACACAAAAAGCAGTGGCAATTTGTTGTTGACAAAGGACAGCTGGACATATAAAGGGCCCCATTACCTTCAGTAGCTTAGGGCCTCATCAAACCTAAATCCAGCTCTTCATTGGACGTTCGGCTTCCAAAGAACGTTTGCAAACCAGAACACTCACTTCTGGGGTCGCGGCAATTGGGAGCCAAAACGTTCGAGTCGCAAGGCGTTTGAGATCCAAGGTACAACTGTATGTTCTTTTAAAGTTTTTTTTAAAAAATGTTTTCAGCTTTAGGTTTGTCTTTGCTGAATGAAATGGTCTTAAATAGATACTGTGAGCTATCTTGAGCAGTTGTGGAAAGATTTTGAGTATTTCAAATAAACAAACGGCGGTGAGTGAAGCCATCAGCACGATCAGTCCTGAGACCAAAAGACTCTGCAATACTCCCAAATTTATGTCAGGATAATACTTCCTAGAGCTGAGCCTTCAAATCTGCTCACATGTTGCAGTGCTAAACACATTGGCAATGAAATGTATTTTTAACCAATTCTATGCAGGAAAACCCCCAATAGTGAGCCCACCTACTCCTACCATCTGGAACTAAGGACCTGGGTTTTCAGATCAAAGGATAGGACTTCAGGTCTGGTTTCCACTTCTGCTCCTTTCCTTTTTTCTTGTTGAAAACAGCATCTTCCAGTATTCCAGTTGCTGGTTGTGGTCCTACCCTGTCTTTTCTTCCCCACCTTTAGCACATATATTCTCAGTGGAGGAACCGGCTTCATGAGTCACGGTTATAAGCCGGTTTATTACAAAACCGACTAAGAATTTGTTTTTAAACATAGTTCTCCGCTTGGAATGTAGGGATAAGTAGAGACGCTTTGAAAGTCAAGCAAAACTCAGCCGTTCTCCCAGCACTGAGGCTCAGCCTCATGGAGACTAATCCTGTACATAAGATTAATGTTGTCTGCTTCATGTTGCATTTGTGATGTTCTATCATGTCATTGTTATTTATTGTTTGTAAGCCAAACGGTCAGGGGTCCCTTTACCTTTACCTTTACCTTTACCAAGCCTCAGCACCACTACCAAATAAAAAGGCCATCCTCCTCCCAGCCACCTTTCTGGCTTCATCTGGAAGAAAGGGGTGGGGGGTAGAGCTTCCCTAGTAGAAGATCATAAGAGGCCCTCTTGCAAGGTGAAGCAATCTCTGAGATTCACCCTTCTTCTAGTTTTGATGCTGGCTTCTTAAAGAGACTCCACCTCATTACCCTGCTGCTGGAATGCTAATGCTTCTTTGGCTCTGTGTCATGGGGGCCTGAGAGGATGGATTAGATATCATTTGCGAAGTGCTTTGAAGATGAACTTCACTGTATAAACATGGAGCATTACTAGTGTCCTTTAAGCAGCTCCCATCCATCAGAATCCCATTTCCAGTGTCATTTTATTTTATTACATTTTTTCCTGATGCGCTGACATTCCTGCCATAATCTGATTTTCATTAGCTGTGATGTACTACAGAGATTTGGACTTCCAACATTCACCAGCATTTGTTACCATAAGTGTTACCACAAGTGAGCATTGCTGCATGCTGGGAGGAAGGGAGGGGAGAATAGCTTGACTTCTGGTCACAGAACAGCTCTTAAAAAGTTGTCGTTGTGTGCAGGGTTCTGTTGCAGGAAAGCTCAGCTGCAGTTCTCAGGAACGATTCTGGGGCATGAGCAACCAAAACTATCTTCTCCCAGACCTGTTGCAACAGAGCCAGGTTTCGAATTGTTCAGCAAACCAGCTGAAAGTTGCTCAGAACCACTTTCCGGAACCTCAGAGCAAGCCTATTCCCAACAAGGTAAATGTCACATATTATGACAATAAACAAACTGAAATGCAGTCCTTCCTTTGAGATTCAAACTTCTCTGAATTATATGATGCAGTTCTCCAATCAAAAAAGTATACACCCAAAAAATGCACATTGTAATGAAAATAACATACCAAACTACTAGGGGATATGCCTTGCAAAAATTTGTAATAGGAGAAGTTGTGTGCAAAAATTCATATCTCAGGACAGTTGCACTGGCTTGCCCCTGTGATTGAGGGGGACTAGCACCAGCAATGTGCTGACGTCACCACCTTGCAACATGCTCATGCTGTGCGTATATTCCACATGACTTGCTGACACCATTTGCGCATGCTGCGCAAGTTATGTGAGCATGTCTCACAACGTGACTATTGAGTTGTTGATGTTTTTGTTAGTTTTAGATGTCCAGCAATGTCTAAAATGTCATATATTTTGAAGCCCTGTAGTAACTCTGTTTTATCCTGAGGGGTGATAGATATTGGCCATTAGCATTCCATTGCATCTTGCCAGAAGTTTTGGTCTGCATTGCTATGGATCTGCAGGGAGGCTGTGCCAGTTACTTGAGGTTGTTATACGTTCCAAATTAAAGGAAAGCATTTATGTTCATTTACTTCAGTCTTCTCCTTTCAGCTGTTTTGGAAGGGAGATTTAATGGTGAATCATGTGTGTCTGTGTGGTGGTGAAGAGAAATACAGTGGTGCCCCGCAAGACGAATGCCTCGCAAGACGGAAAACTCGCTAGACGAAAGAGTTTTCCGTTTTGGAGGTGCCTCGCAAAACGAATCTGCTATGGGCTTGCTTCGCAAGACGAAAATGTCTTGCGAGTTCCTGGTTTTTTTCCCCCCTTTTCCCCCTCTTTTTCTAAGTCGCTAAGCCGCTTATCTGCTTATCCGATAAGCTGATAAGCTGCTAAAAGCCGCTAAAAGCTGCTAAAAGCCGCTAATAGCGCTAATAGCGCTAATCCGCTAATCCCGTCAATGGGCTTGCTTCGCAAGACGAAAAAACCGCTAGACGAAGAGACTCCCAGAACGGATTCTTTTCGTCTTGCGAGGCACCACTGTAACCTGCCCTACACATGTTATTGCTGTATAATTTTTATAGATGTGAAAGAACTAGATTTATTTACCCTTTGTTTTTGTTTTCCTTTCCAATGAAGCTTTAGAGTACAATCAACTGCTAATCATCCAGATTTCTAATAGTTACATCCACTTCCACCTTCGAGAATCAGAGAATCAGAGAAATGTAGAGTTAGGAAGCACCACAATGAACATGCACGAATCTATTTGCCCAACATGGGGCTTGAACCCATCACCTTGAGATTAAAAGCCACATGCTCTACCAACAGAGCTACCCCAGCTGGAACTTCTGCACACCTTCCATTCCAGAGCCCTGATAAGTATCCAGTCTTACTGGATGTCTGGAAGGGGTTTCAGAGCAGTGGGCCAGACTCTACTACTCGCTCAACTAGGGCTCTGGTCAGATCTACTGCTCCTTCCCATATTACCACAGTTTCTTCTTCACAGCCGAGGTGGCTTCCTAGTAGCATTGGCCGCAGGGCATCTTAGTGCAGCAACCCAGTAGAATGCAATGTACATAAGCTCTGCAGTGGTCCCTTGGTTTACGAACAGCCCTGTTTGGATTACAAACTTCCGCAAAACCAGAAGTCTATGAACTTTACCTCAGTCTAGGAACGGAATCCGAATGGTGGAAGGGCACCGGCGGTGGGAGACCTCATTAGGGAAAGCGCAGCTTCAGTTTAAGAACGGACTTCCGGAACAGATTAAGTTCGTAAACCGAAGTACCACTGTAATTAAGTTGTGGCATCACTTTCAAAGCAAGGTTTTAGTTTCGTTTGGGGTTTTTTTAAGGAGGGTGTTGAAGCAGAACCATCCATCCCAGAGACAGCAGCCTGTCCCAACCCTGGGCCTCCAGATCTTGTTGGACTACAACTCCCATCATCCCTGACTGCCAGTTCTGCTGTCTTAAGAATGATGGGAGTTGTAGTCCAACAGCATCTGGGGGTCCAAGGCTGGGAAAGGTCACCGTACAGTATACATGTAGCACCATCAATGCAGTCGGTTGTGATTAAGTTCCTTTGTTTCATCTTAATTTTTTTCCCCATTTTAGGCACCGAGCACTAACAACACCCCCTCAAAAAATAGTTCCTCATCTACGACATCATTCACATCATTCATAGATCCTAGGCTTCTACAAATGTCACCTCCTTCAAGTCCAACTGGACCAAACTGTGGTTCTCGTGAGTACAGTTGTTTTAATTGCAGAACATGCCATATTTGCCTCTCTTGGAGGGGAGGAGGGAAATAGTGTCCTCCCTTAAAGAAGGCACGTGTGGCGGTGAGACCTGGAGACTGGCCACCTGTGTTGTGCATGAGTAAGATTGGTCAGCCACAACACCCAATTGGTAGGTCCATCAATGCTGGGTTTAATCTGGCCAGTGGGGTGCAGTCCAAATGGATCAAGGGACCTATATATGCCAATGCATGTGACCCAGAGCTTCCTCTTTCAGCACGTGCATTCGGAACACCCGCCCACCTCTCCCTACTTTTAGGGCATTTTGCGCTTGACCTTGCTATGCCGTCGTGTGTCGTCTGTCGTTGGGACAGGGGAATGGCAGGAATTTTCCCCACTTGGCTGATTGGCTGTTGCCATTTGGGTTTCACCTGCCGCATAGCAAATCGTCACAACTTGTAAGGTTGTGGATAGGCTCTGGTTCAAGTGATAGGGATGGGAGAACGCTCTCGCCATCCCTATGTGAAGGGTATTCCATTAAAGGAATCCAGTGACTCGATGGTTTGGTCAACCCCTGAGAGGGGGTTGTGCCCATGCCTGAGTCTAGGGGGTCATACAGGTGGCGGAGATAGCCTGTTCCCGGCTTTCCCCTTATCCAGGTGTTCAGCTTTGGCTGACCTGTGCTGGTGCCCTGGGTCAGTGCTACCTGCATAGCAGGGAGCTAGTCCTCAATTCGCTTGTAAATGACGCGCAATGGTTTTCCATAATCAGGTGACTCTTACTTTGCTTTTCCCCTGGCACTAGTGGAACAAACCACAATTCCTGAGTAGGGATAAGGGAGAAATTCAGTTTGGTTGCACATCTAAATATGAACTTACCTAATTTGCACTTTCTGAAACAATGCACGAACCAAAGCAAAGGTATCCTTCATAATGTGCCCTTCTCCAAATTTTACAAAGCAGGACTCCAGTCAAGCAATGTGTACAAAAATACACATATGAACAACAAAAGTGTGCATATAAATGCATATATTAGTGAAAACGACATACAAAAATGCGTTACATATGGTGGAAATTGCTTTGAGAAAAATATGTACATTAGGCAAAAATGCATACAAAAAGGTGCATATCAGGACTAAACTGAAATGTTGTCTTTTAAATCACAAACTGATGTGGAAATGTAGAGAACTGGACTTAATATTAGAAAGATGAGAAACTGGGAGAAACTGAAATTGACATAGTCACCCATCTCTGTATCAGCCTTACAAGGTTCATGGCTTGCTCCACTCCAAGCAAGGGTGGACTTGGGTCTTTCAAATTTATGCATCACCAATATTTGATGCCCCCTCCACCTCCTGCCTACTGTTCTGCTCAATTCACTACATCATAGTTGCAATGCCCTGGAGAACTCCCTAGGCCCAGTGCCCAGTGCGGCAGAACTGGTCACACTACTCTAATCCACCTCTGCTCCAAGCCAAACTTCGGTTTTGGCTTCCCATTCGTGGTTTATTCAAGTGAACCACGAATGGTAAACCATTATGTGTGGTTTTCTGTGACCTGCAAATTCGCCTGGTAGAAGGCGGACTCCAGTGACCTTCTCCCAGCAGGCAAGCACCTTATTTACTTAGATAATTCTTTGTTCTGTGGGCGGAATACACTGGTCTGTCACATTTACTGGTACCAATATGGGATGTCAATGCATAGGGAATACCATGCAAATAGTTGCTTCAAAGGAATGATTTTTGTCAAGACTGACAAAACTCCCTGTACACCACATGCTCTGATCCTAAACATTATCAGGCTCCTTCTAGTAGTTGCTATTTGTATTTTTAAAATGCGCACATTAAATGCAAATGAATAGCATCACTTGTGGTCTGGCCCTTAGGTCACATCCACACCATAAATAAATGCTCTCTCACAAAGCATCATTAACAAGCCATGGCTCCCTGGATTCCCTGGGGGGAGCAATGTGCTTTAAATGTATATTGTGGATGTGACATATTAGATGTCATTCAAAAAGAGATTTAGAAATCCTGCTTTCATGAGGGGCACACAGAGTGTGGGGCACAGTTGCTTCACAAGCCATGTGTTGTGCAAGAAAACATAACAATTGTTTTATAAAAAGCCTCTGCTTCTCTTCCCTAGCATCCAATGTGAAACCAGAGCCCACCAGCAGGCAAAACGCAAGGAAAGGCTCCGTTGTCAACGTGAACCCCACCAATATCCGCCCACAGAGTGACAGCCCAGAAATCCGCAAATACAAAAAGAAGTTCAACTCTGAGATCTTGTGTTCCGCATTGTGGGGTAAGAAAGTTTATCTGAAGCAGGAATAGACGGCTTGCGATTCTGAGGTGCTTGGAGGCTTGTTCAGATCTTTAAAAATATAGGGGGAAGGGCCATAGCACCCTGGAAGAGCACTTACTTTGCATGATCCTAGGTTCGATCCCCAGCATCTCCAGGTAGGAGTGGGAAAGACCTTCACCTGAAACCCTGGAGAGCTGCTGCCAGTCAGTGTAGCCAATATGCAGCAAGATGGACCAATAGCCTAACTCATTGCAAGGCAGCTTCCTATGTTGCTATTATTATTTGTTAGATATATATACTGGTCTTCATCAAAGGGCCACAGGGTGGTTCACAGAATAAAGTACCGGATAAAAACAAGTAAATAATTAAAACACAACAGCAAAGCCATAACCTCCCCCTTACCACAGACACATTTAATATATTCATCAACCCAAGGCCTGGTTAAAAAGGAACATTTTCACCTGGCACCTAAAATATATATAATGAAGGTGCCTGGCAAGCGTCCCTGGGGAGGGCATCCCACAAACAGGGAGCCACCACAGAAAAGGCCCGTTCTCATGTTGCCACCTTCTGGACCTCTCATGGAAGAGGCACACAGGGTGAACACAGAGTCCAGAACGGTTTATATGGGAGAGAGGCGGTCCTTGAGGTATTGCAGTCCTGTTTCTGTTCCCATTCAGTAAATTGCCCCATTCCTGCTCAGCCTGATTGTTGGGGTGTCCTTGAATACAGCTGGAGCACTTACTAGCAAGGCAAGATCAGGTTCAATACAAAGTGCACTAAAGCATCAGAGAAACTGTCGAAAAGGAGATGTTGCTTGAGAAACGGCTAGGTAGCAACTGAGTTTTTGTAACCCAGTCTTACCCATTTCTGGAGCATCAGTAGGGACCTGGTCTAGAGCATGTGTCAGTTTTTTGCTTCTTTCTGCCTCTCAAGTCACGCCCAGAGATGGGAGGTCTTGTGATACCAGTACATTTTCTGTCCTGGGCAGTAACTTGAGCCCATCACTTTCTAAAGTGGAGAACACTCTGCAACAGAAATCCTGGAAGGGGTGTTGCAAGGTTTGCAGGATCGCAGCCTTGTGGCGTCCACCAGTGCATCTCACCTACCATTGGTCTTAGAATGTACTACGATCCTCAGCGCAATTCTCTGCCTCTGAGCTGGCCTTGACATGAAGCCCAGTTTCCTACATCTGAGTGTGATATACCAAAATGCTGGATGGACTGCACCGCCTGTCACTTAAAGATCCATCCTCATTATTGATGCCTTTGCTCCCCATCAGCTTTAATTTTCCATCTTCCTGACACCAGACAGCACTCCGACAAGCTCCATGGAGCTGATACAATATTTTACCCACATCTCCTGCCTTGATTCGAGCCTTAAATGAGAAACAAAATAAATGAATGAAATGCCGGAAGAAATTATCCCAGGAAATGTAGATTTACAGTTTACAGCTCTCTGGGTTTCATGTGATGTATGTTTGGAGGAGGCCAAGATTTTAAATTAAGAACAGAGCACCATAGCAAAGCTGGTAATGATATGTGTGCTGAGGTGGAGAGCGCTACCTTCTTACCAGCCCATTGCTAGCATTCCGCTGCTTTTTCTCTTTTTTTGTGCTGCGTAATACCTTATGCCATCTCATTATTTCCGCCAGGAACACTTCGATAAGAAACCTTATCAAACATGGCAACCAAATGGAAGCCTCGCCCGTTGGGTGTCAGCCCGAATCCGCAGTCCCCTCAGCACTTCCACTGGCTTGAAAACAATTTAACTATAGACAGATACTTGAGGGTCTCACCCAGAG